ACGCACACACACACGCACACACGCACACGCACACACGCACGCACACGTTGGCGCAGCAGCGTCAACGTGCCTGCCTGCGTGCGTGTGTTGCATACACAAAAACGCATCAACGCACCCAACCACTGGCACGACCGACACCACGGACTCGACCCCCAGCCCCGCATGACATCCCCCACGCCCCCTTCCTTTCGCAAGCAGTAACCCCGCCCCCCTCACTTGGCGCCCGTCTTGGTACAGCAGCACGCGCCCCGAGGCCGACTCCCATGTGACAGCCACGTGATGCCACTGGCCGTCGGTGGCCGAAACCCCCGACAAATGGTCTGCCAGCGTCCCCTCGTCTTCCATGACGGAAACGCCCCTGGAGAGGTTTTGTCATCGCGGCGGGTATACATGGGTTTTCTCTCTGGTTGGCTGTGGCCGTCAGCAAAAGAGATTGCGATTGCAGAGCCCCGCGGGTGGTCCGCTGGCCGCTGCCTTTCTCGGCACAGAGGGCGTGGAGGAAGAGGGGTCGAGGCGCGCCGGCGGTGACGCGGGGGCGGCCGCCGCCGACCGGCGCGGGGGCCGCGCGGCCCCGGTGGTGGGCCCCCCGCGACCTCAGGCGGTCGAAAGAGCATCGAGCGCCCCGCGCCGCGCGCGGCCGCCGCTATTCGCCGGAACCGAAACCGCCCACCAGCTGTTATAGTTGAGGACCCTCGCCAGGAACCCCCCACCAGCTGTCATAATTCAGAAACACCACCAAAACGGCCCACCAGCTGTTATGATTCAGAAACCCCACCAAAACCGCCCACCAGCTGTTATAGTTGAGGACGAGGAAGGAGTTGTCCTCCTGCTGGTAGCGGCCGTGGGCGTAGCTGAAGGGCACCCCGGGGCGGCACGTGTCGACGGACTGCATCCAGAACTCGACGGTGATCGCGGTGGAGGGGAAGTCGTGGAACTCGGGCACCATGAGCACCTAGGCGGTTGGGGTTAGGCGGTTAGGGGCGGTTGGGGGCGGCAGGTCGTCGGGGTTTAGACCTGTGTTCGGGTGAACTGGGAGATGGGGGGTCGACACTTGGGGAGTGAGCTGGCACGGGGTCGGGATCTGGTGTGGGGGCCGGCTGCGGTTTTCGCTGGGCTGCAAGGGCTGCGAGGCTGCGGGGCGCTGCTTGGCCGGCAAGGGGGCGAGCGCTGCGCTTTCGGAGCCGACACCGCCGGCGGGCGGTCCAGGGTGTATGTGATGTGCTGGGGATGCAAAACCAGAGCAGCAGCGATGCAAGATGGGCGGCAGGGGCAGCTTCCAGACTCTCCGGCCCGCGCAGAGCACAGACAGCACAGCGCAAATGGCAGATCGCAGGGCAAGGCATAGCAGACGGGCCGCTGATGGTGGGGCGTGAAGGGACGGCGCGCGGGGGTTGGGGGCCCAGAACGACGCGCCTGGTTGTCGTGCAGGCGCATCGCGTAGCCGGCCTTGCCGGGCGCCGGCGGGGCGCCGGGCGTGCCGTCCGGCAGCGTGAGCGGCGCGTAGGAGTAGACCCACTCTGGGGGGTTGGCCCGCAGCTGCAGGTGGTTCTGGTTGGCTGCGGGGTTTGAGAACGTGGGCGTGTTGTTTGGGGGGGGGCGAGAGGGGTCAGGCAGCGGTTGGTTCATTGGTGGGCTCTGGCTGGCATTGTTTGTGATGCAAAATTCGAGGGGAGGGGCAGGAGCGCCACGTCAGCAACCACCGCCTGGCAGCGCCGGGAGGGTCAGAATCAGGGCGGCGTCGACACAGCCGCGTGGGCCTATCACACGTCCGGCGCGCGCGCGCACGCGCGGGGGCCTCGGAGCGGCGGCCCCGCCCCGCGGGATCTGCCAGGCGCCCGTCTGCGGCCGGCCGGCGTCGACGTCGCAGCACCCGTGACGCCACAACAGCAGCCCTAGCTGCGCTTTTCGCGCGCGCATGCACACGTCCACGCACGCGCACGCGCGCGCGCGCACACACACACACACATACACACGCACTTAACACTAGTCTGAATCGCCACACGAGCCCATCATCGCCGCGGCCCCACCTGTGCGGTCCACCGCCACAAGCGCGTCCGCGCCGCCCTCCGCGCCGACGGCCTTCACGCCTTCCGTATCGAACACGTACAGCGCCGCCAGCCCCTCCTCGTTGTCGGGCCTGTTGCGCCACATGTTGCGTCTGACGTCATCCTGAGTCAGCACGCGGCCCCACACGCGCAGCTGCCGGGGCGCGTAGGGGGGGATGGGGTCGGGGATGAGGTTGGGGTTGGGGTTGAGGCGAGGGGGGACGGGCTGGGGGTGAGAAGCAGAGGGAAGATGCAGAAACAGGCTGTAGCGCAGCCAGTGCGGGGCTTCAGGCGCGAGGCGCGAGGCGAGGAACGGATGTTTTGAGCACGAAGCGGTAGGTGCAATTGCATTGCGCAGCGCGCCTTTCTGTCGGCGTGCGGCGCTGGGCTCCTAGTCAGCTGCGGTCGACGACGCACACAAGAAGTGACCGCGCTGGCACGCCCAACTCCCCTGCTGGACCGCGGCATTCACAGCCACCACGCTCCCGCCGGCCGTCCCTCAAACATACCAAGCCTACAAAACACGATTGGAAACAGGCAGGATCGAACACGCCGCCCTCAATATATGGACGCAGGCCAGCCGCCTCAAGGGGGAAAGCAACAGCAAGTGCCCAAAGCCCTCACAAAGGCGCGCAAAGGCCTCAAGGGGGGCGCTCACCACGGCCGGCTCCCCAATAGCGGACCCGCATTGGCGGGGGAGAAGCAGCCCCCAGGCAGCCCCCGCCCTGTCCCAGCACGCCGCGGCGACTCATCCCTGCTTAACCCCCGCCCGAAAAGAACAACAGCTGTAATCAGGCAACATTAAACACCCGGCCCTGAATTAATGGACGAGCGCCATCCACCCAAAAGGGAAAGCACCAATTACGGCAGCTCACCATGGCCAGCTCCCCGTCAAACGCGTTTTTGGGGGGAGGGCGCTGAACAGCGCCCCAGGCAGCCCTAGCCCTAGCCCTGGCCCGGCGCGTTGTGGCCTGTCGTACCTGGGTCAGCCCTGCCCTCACCACCCTCAAAAGACAGCTCGAGACACGCAGAACGGACACCTGACCCCAACTTGAACCTGAACAAAAGCCAGTCGCCGCAGAGGCGCGCAAAGGCCTCGAGAGGAGCGCTCACCACGGCCAGTTCGCCATCGAACGCGTTGGCGGGGGAGAAGCAGCCCCCCAGGCAGTCCTGGTCCTGGCCCAGCGCGAGCGCGCCGTCGCCGCGGCGGGTGGTCTTTGCTGCGACCTTGGGGTCGACGCCGCCCTCCTTGGCCGGCTTGTCGTCGACGGCGCCGCGGCTGGGGGGGGTGAGGGTGTTGTGAGGATCATTTTGAGCGAAGTGTGGGGACGGAAGCGCCCGCTCGGTTGTGTTGAGGGTGGGGTGGGGGGGTGCGCCGGCTCAATGCAGGCGGGGCAACATGGCCTTCAATGCATAGCTTTGTGGGACAGACATGAATCTGGCGGGGGCCTCGCAGCGGGGCGAAACTGTTGCGACACTGTTGATCATGACTACCCGATCGCACCGGCCCGCTGTGCCGCGTCGGCCCCCCCTCAAACCGATGACCCGGGCGCCGCCGCCACCGGTCTTGCGCGGCCAAACGCCAACCATGCCGCCCCCCCAGCGCACGCACTCGCTCTTCCAGAAGGCGGTCTTCTGCTCTCCGTCCAGGTACAGCCGCGTGGTGCCGTCCTCGTGGTCCCAGGTGACCGCGACGTGATGCCATTTGTCGTCCACCCAGCCCGCGTCAAAGTCGATCCAGTTTTCTGCGTGGGTCGAGTCCGTGTTCTCTGCGGGCAGCAGCGAGAGGTGGGTGCGGTGAGGTGTGGTCAGCTGCAGTCCGTTGTGGTCCGATGCGATCGGTTTCAGTCGGCTGCGGTCGGTTGCTGTCAGTTGCTGTGAGACAGGTTCCGGACGGGCCAAGATTGCCGTCATGTCGGAATGCTGAAGGGGAGATAAGCGGCGGCGGCGGCGCGACCCCAGTTCACGGCTTGTCTGAGCGTTGCCAGATCCGCTGTGATGCGGGGCCTGCTGACTCAGCCTCAACGCAGGCCGGCGCGCGCCGCAAGCCAGTCCGGGCGCACACGCGCGCCCTCCCTCCCCCTACATTGCTCAAACGACACAATCCGGGCGGCGGCGGCGCGCTCGTGGGATCGCGGCCGTTCGAGAGGGGAAAGGCGCGTCCCAGGAAAAACAGGGTGGGACGTGGGATGCCCCCCCCCCCCCCGCATATTCTTGCCCGCCGTCGCCGCCCGCCCACCGTTGCTGTTGATGTGAACGCTGACGGCCCCGGCGGTGCTGTGGTCGCTCCCAAAGGTGCCGCCTGTCAGCAGGAAGTTCTCGAGGTACCTGCCGCGCGGAGGTTACGGTGGTGACAGTCAAGCACAGAGCGCCTTTCGGCGGCCGCTGCTGGGGCCGGCCCGCAGGGCAAGGCGCAGGCCGGCAGCAGAGGCTGTTGCGGCGGGCGGGGGGCACTCGCCCGTTGCCCAGCCACCGCGGCCCCCCAACACACACACACACACACACACACACACATAGACATACACACACATGCACATGCACATGCACACACACACACACAAATACACACAGAAACACACACACACACCTTTCTATGCGGATCGCATCATCAGCAAAGTCTGGGCCCGCCGCCGGGTCGTCGCCGCGGGGGGCTGCGTAGCTGAACATTTGAGAGTACACATCCTGCAGGGCCGGCATCAGGGTTTAGGTTTGAAGGAGTGGCAATTACAGGGGGTGGTGCACAACCAAGGGACCGTGCAGGCCTGTGTGGATGTGACGTAATAGATGTGTTTGACGAGCGGAAACGGTGGAACGCCGATTTCTAGGGCAGCAGGCTCAAGCAGCAGGCTCAAGGGACCGTGCAGGCCTGGCACCGAGGCGCCCGCCTCGGGCCCCTCAACCACGGCCCCGCGATCCGCCACAATCGAAGCCTTCTGTCATATTTCAACCCTCCCAACCGCAAGTGACGTCACACCCTCTCCTCCCCGACAAAGCCCACCCCCTCCCGTTCGCCTGCGTGCGGCCCGACGTGTCCAGCGCCTGGCCGCGCGCCCAGAACTCCACCGTGAAGGACTTTTCGGGCATGCCCTTGGTCTGCTTGTTCAGCGCGAGGTTGTTTTTGAACTCCAGCCGGCCTGCAGGGTGGGTTTCACAAACACGCACAGACAGCGGCAGCGCGCGGACATGCGTCAGGGCCATGCCTGCACGTCGCGTCGAGGTTGCTGAAGAGGGGTCGAGCGCTGCCCTTGTTCGCAGGCCTTCCGCCCTGCCGCAACATATGGGTGGCACCTGCAGAGAGGAGCCCGGACTGCAGGAAAAATGCCCCTTGAAAAGCTCTGTTGCGGACCCAGCCACTCTCAAATTCATCACTTCTCCCCGATCTGAACGGGAGCGCTCGGGCGCCGCGCGGCGCCCCCGGCCCGCACCCGTGCGCAGGGAGTTGGCGGCGGGCTTGATCTCCACGTCGCCGCGCTGAGGTGGCGTCGCCAGATGCAGGTCGTTGCCCTTCCCAGAGGAGTCCTTGGCCACCTGTGGGTTTCGAGGCGGGGCGGTCCGGGGAAATTATTATGTGCATTGCATGCATGAGGTCAAGCACTGCATGGAACGGAAGGCCCTGGATTGCCGTCAGAAGATTGGGATGTGCACAACGCCTGCGGTCCAGCGGCCGGCTCAGCGCTGCAGGCGTGTGCCCAGCCGGCCCGCCGGCCTGCTGCACGGCCCTGTTGTCTGGCCCCAGGGGCCCGGTCAATGCTTTGATGCGCGCCAACGCGCACCACGTGCGCCCTGAACTCGCCCCCATCTTTGTCCGGCTCGTCAAACTTCCTGTAGGGAGAATCGAAGTACGAAATAGATAGGCGTCAACAGGAGATATCGCAGCCTGACATAAACACATATATGCTGTGAAGCACAGGAGTCTAGAGGCGCGCCTCTTTGCAAAAAACAAGTCCTCTGATCATGTCAACAGCCGCCAACGGTCTGGAGCGGCAGGCGGCGGCGCAGCATCCCATCGGTGCAACGCTTGAGTGGCTGCAAGCCACGCGCACTGGTGGGTAATGCTGCGGCTGGCAATCGGGCGCTCATGCGCAGCAAGCCGCAGAGTCTGGCGGTGTCCCAAAGGTGAGCAGTACAGCCCACCAGTAGGCCACGAGGTCTGCGTGGTTCTCCAGGCCCGATGCCAGGCGCATGGAGCGGATGATGTCACTCTGACTGCGCTTGACCTTCCAGAGGCGCACCTGGGTCGTTCCAGAGGAGAAGCCGAGGGGTTGGCAGGTCAGGAGTACCATCGGGAGAACCGGGGCTCGGCTTTTAGGCTGAGACTGCCGGTCAAGCGTGGGCCGGCTGACGCCGCTTTACCTCCTGTTCTGTTTCTCCCATCTGACCCCTGGTTCGCAGCACCTTTGCCCCTGGCGCCAGCCACCCCAGTGCCCACCGCCCACAACGGTTCATCTCGCACAATTCAAGACACCCACGCGCCCCCGTGGAAGCCGCCGTGGCCTGTGCCTGCATCAGTGCCAAAACCGCCCGACCGTTGCCGATTTAGTGCCCCGGCCCTGCCAGGCGGCAGCCATTCCAACCCCAAACCCCCCACCTCATCCATAGCGCCGTAAAAGCCCTGGGAAGCGTCCGTGCAGCCGCCGAAGCAGTCCTGTTTGATTGTGTTTGCACGCGCACGCGAGCGCGCATGTGTGTGTGTGTGTGTGTGTATATGTGTGTGTGTGTGTGTGTGTGTGTGTGTGTGTATGTG